TTTGCATCCCCCCTGCTCCAGGGAATGCTGACAGCCACCCAGTGCCCTTGGCCGTGGACAGACTCTAGATGCCCCCCAGTCACGGGTCAGACACAGCCCCAGAGGGTCCTGTCCCGACCCAGTTGTGGACATGGTGACCTCGTTGCAGGTTTTCTTCTGGATTGGGAAAGGCGCCAACGAGTCAGAGAAGGAGGCAGCGGCAGTGATGGCCCAGGAGTACCTGCGAAGCCACCCCAGTGGGCGTGACCTCAACACTCCCATCATCGTGGTGAAGCAGGGCCACGAGCCCCCCACCTTCACCGGCTGGTTCCTGGCCTGGGACCCCCTCTACTGGGACGTGAGTCATGGAGAGGGCTGGAAAGAACAGGGAGGGCCCTTTGCAGCTGGGGACCAAGTCTGGATCTGGCCCCAGCCAGCATCTCCTGGAGCAGGCAATGGTTCGTATGATCCCTGCCTGTGCCACGGCTCTGAGCACTTTTGTCCCCTTCCCAGGACAAGAAATCCTATGAGGAGCTGAGAACTGAGCTGGGGGACGAGAGCAGCCTGGAGCAGCTCACCTCAGTAAGCGGCACAGGGAGAGGGGGCAGGAGAGGGCCCAGCAAGCTCCTCCATCCCCTTGGCATGAGGAGCTGCAAGGACACGTCCTCCAGGGAGGGGACAGCTGGGGCTAGCTCGGTGCCACCTCTGATGTGACCCTGTCCCCCCCGTGCAGGTGCTCACATCCAAACAAGAGATCTTCACCAGCACCACCACCCTCCTCCCTGACAAACTGGAGACCTTCCCCCTGGACGTGCTGGTGAACGCCTCAGCAGAGGACCTGCCACGGGGCGTGGACCCCAGCAGGAAGGAGGTGAGCCAGGGGGCTGCGGGGGGGACCAGGGGGAGCCCCCTCAGCTTGAGCTCAGTCTCCTCTCTCCTCCCCCAGTACCACCTCTCTGACCAGGACTTCCAGGCTGTCTTTGGCATGAGCCGCTCCGCCTTCGGCAACCTGCCCCTGTGGAAACAACAGAAACTCAAGAAGGACAAAGGGCTCTTCTAGGGCAGGAGCCTGGGCACAGGGACACCCACAGCTCATTTATTTTTATTAAATAAAATATATTTGAAAAGCAGGGGTGCATCTTCCCTCCTGAACCCTGGGCTCAGCCGGGTTGTGGGGCTTATTTGGCAAAGAGATGGGGTGCAGGAAGACATGGATCTTGACTGAGGCAGCACAGGGAAGGACCCCCAAGCTCCTTCTCCAGGCCCTTCACCCCCTCTGTGTTCAGGGGCAATGCCTACCCCCCCGAGCACCCCCTGGGGAGCCAGAGGAGCTTCCCCCATCCCACTCCAGCAGCTGCAGCTCAGGGGTAAAGGTCCTGTATACACCTGGAGCCGCTCCCTCCATTATTGCCTGCACCTCAATAAACACGCGCAGTACCAAAGGTAAAAGCAACGCACTCCAGGCTGAGGGGATGGCACCTGTGTGGGGACAGCACCCACTCGGAACAGACACCAGGGACCACTTGTCCTTGCCGAGGGAGGGGAGGAGGGCATCTCCCTCCTGCCTGGGATCTGCTGGGGACCCAGAGAGGGGCTGGGGCAGGATTTGCATGTGGCAGGAGGTGCTAAACACACATAAACAGCCCCTGTTCCTGGGCTACGGAGCAAAGTCCCAGTGGCAAACGCAGGGCAGAGGTGTGGTGTCCATTGGCCACAGCGTTCAAGAGGTAGTGTGGAAATAAGACCCCAAACCAAGAGAGGGTTAATAAAGAAGTTTTAATTTCACAAAAAAAAAAAAAAATCTATCTACACATCATTTAAAAAGGGCCAGGGGGAACCCAAGAGAAAAAAAACAACCTGTAAATAGAGAGGAACAGGTCTGCTAAAACACAGAGAAAAGTGCTGCTCCACATCAACAGTATAAAGACTCAGAAACTCGGGGTGCAGGTAGAAACAGGCAGCGGCCACCCCAAGATGGAGTCTGGCAACAGAGCTGCACCGACAGCAGCTGCCAGGGGTCCCGCACCCCTTTTCCTCTCTTTGGCGGGTGATTACAGGGCTAATTTAAAATCTCAATTAAAAAGAAAACAAAGCAGATGAGTTATTCCCAGCCCCCCCATCCCCACTCCCCAACAGGCCGACCTCCACACGCCCCACGCCTGGATGACCGCATCAGGCAGCGCTGGGCTCGCCCTCAGCCCTTCCTCAGGAAGGGAAGGAAGATGCAGAGGGGATGTTTACCCAGGTTTTGGAGAGCCCCACTCCTCCTAGGCTGCAGCACGAGTCGAGAAACCAGTCCCTGCTTTGCAAAGGCTCTTTGTGCAGCCCTGCGGCCAGGGCTCCCCAGGGACCCGCGCACACAAGCTCCAGGTCACTGACACCAATGGTCCTGCACCTCTCCGAGTTGAGGAGGAAATCAAGACCAAATCAGCGCAGCCAAACAACGAAGGGGCGAGGGGAATGGCAAGACAGGAGTTGTTCCTTGCGTTTACTTGCTGAATCACACTTGGACTGAACGAAGCTGATTCAGGAGCGGGTGAATGTTGAACTGCCACTCTACAACTGAGGAAGAGCCTGCAGGCATTCAGGGACAGCAACCGCTCCATCTGCCTATGCCCCGGCATGGGCACCTCACCTGGAAGGGACCACCTCACCAAACCTGCTGTTGTGAGTGTGACAGCCACAGCTGGCGGGCAGCGCACCCAGCAACGATCACAGCCCTGTCTTCCTCCCCGCTGCTCTCGGACAGGGAGAGTGCTGCTTTCTGCAGGGAAGGGGCTCCACAGATGCTCCCACCAGGGTGAAGGTGCAACTGAGCTGCCACACGCCAAACAAAAAAGCTTAAATTAATTAACCGATGTCTGCATGTTTTTAATGGCTAGAATAATAAGCAAGAGCTTTTCATAAAACAAGGAACACTGGTTTCAAGCATCAGCTTTTGTACCTTTAGCCAAACAAATCTGGTTTTAAAACAAAAGGTACTGGACTGAAAAGTCAGGCAATGCTTGCTTTTATTATAAATTAACTGGAGTGCAGTGCCTCGCAAAAACAACTTTGCCACCCAAAAAAGCAGAGCTGACTTCTGCCACTACAGGAACACCAGGTATTTACAACGCTAGCATGGGATGTGCCTGTGAAAAGCAGATTTGCCCTCTGGATGGAGGAGTCCCTTCATCACGTCCGCAGGGGTGACCACTGCAAAGGACAACTCCCACGTCACAGCCTCTTCCTGTCACTCAGAACTCTACCAAAGTCAGTATCAACATAGAAAAGTGTAATGTTTTGTAATAAATTAACACACACGCTCACTCGGGCTGCATCTCACAAGATAAACGCTCTGTCACGTTTACAACCTAACATTCCCAGCTCAGACACCAGACACGTTGCCTTGACCAGGTCCATCTGACACGCGGACCGGAGGTCGGTCACTTTTCACTGTGCTGGGGTCCCCAAAGCGGCCTGGGGAGGTTTTACTGGCGGCTGTCGCTCACCAAGGTGGCATCCCCACACGGAAGAGGTGCTGCTGTCTCCTAAATCAACGGTTTTGTCTGCTTTGTTTCAGCTGATTTATTCCTGAGAAACTCCTAACGATAATTTAAAAAACTCAGAAACTCTCTCGACAGCAAAAAAGGTGTTTGCTTTGCTTTGTGGTTTGGTTTTCTTTTTAAAAGAATTCTTTCACCTCCAAAACTCAAGCTGCAAAAATCAGAACTAGAGGCCAAAACAAGAGCAACTACTCTGCTTAACAGCAACAGCTTCTCTGAAACGAATAAATGCCAGCGAAGGGAGACATCTGCCCTTGCTAAATAAGTGCAAAGGTGCTGAAAAAATGAAGTCACCAGGCTTCCCCCGCTGCTGAAACGAGCTATAAAAGGCGCGTCTCTAAACCCAATAAAACGCAACACTTCCTCCTACCTGTGCTGTTAATGCTGACCATGGGCTTTCCGAAAGCTTTCCACCTGGTTCAGTTTCACAGTTTGAGCACTCTGCACTCCCTGAAGGGAGAGCTGAGGCACAGCTGCAGTAAAACCCTCTCACCCCGGGACACAAGAACAAGGCAAGACCACGGCTCAAAGAGCAACTCCTGTGCCAAGCGCTGCTCTGCAGACCCTGCCTTTCCCCACCGCTCCCGTTTCACGATGACCCAGGCCTGCGCAGAAAGGGCAACACCTGAATGCTCCTTCTCTCACCAGGGGCTCTTGCTCACCTCCTGCTGCTGCTCTCAGTCAGCTCCAGATGTTCACCTGCCCCCACGGTTACAGCACAGCAGCCCTCAGCAATCCAACTTCAGCACAAAATAGCCATGCACATCTAAAGAGACCTCTCCTCCCAAACGGTACTCACACAACAACTTTGTGAAGAAAATGCAATCAAACAACAGACCTTGTAAAACAAAAGAAATCACAAACAGAATCTCACATCTAAAAGAGGATGACAGTGAACTGTGTAAAAAAACCCAAAACCCGACAGAGCTGCCACCAGGTACACGGTCCATCCTGCAGCACCCCCAGTTTGTCTCCTGGGACCGCATGGAAACAGCGGAGCGCTTGAAACTCACGAACGTCAAAACGCATCCGCTTGAACGGCTCCAAAACGCCCGTCAGCGAGGTGACCGGCAAGAGCGCATGCAGCGATGCAGGCTTCCAGTAAACGTTACCAACACCACACACGCCGGGTTACAGAATCTATTGCTTCAATTGTTCCTGGAGGAAAAAAAACAAAACAAGCCAAAACAAAACAGAAAAATAAAAGCCAAGTGATACGTAAATCTCTGCACTCACGTCTCCCAGGTGAACGGGCTTTTACAGTAGAGTTTATTTTTGCACTATTTTTTTAAAATCAGTTTATGAGCAGCTGTAATCTTGTGGCTTGATGCAACTCTTTAAGGCTCCATGCTGACAGAATTATTTGAGGAACACTAAAAACTTCACCGCAGGAGGATCGCTCTCGGATGTCAAGGTTTAAACGCGTGGTTCAGGCCCAGGACTCACACAGATGGTGCAGCAAACCGAGTGTCCCATATTTCTACCTTTTGTCTCTTGATTTGGCCCTGAGCTGTTTGTTACTCCTGCGTGCCTGGCACAAGTTCAGAATTCCCCTCGTTCCTCAGGAGGAACAAGGTGTTTTACTCTTCACAGAGGCTGACGAACCGATCTTCCTACTTCCATGCTAAGTGGCTGTGCATTTTTTTCCGTTTCTAGTAACTCATCGAAGATATCCCTAGAACAGAGAACAAGACCAGCAGTGAAACGTACGTGCAACAACAAACTGCTCTGTAAGATGGTCCTGCGGGAACCAGCAACTGGATTTAACCCACACGCTCAAGCATTACTGAGAAAGGTGTTACGCAGACTCAGGTGTCTGATCTCCTTGAATCCCCCAGCACTTTTTCACTTACTACAATGAATAAGGTCAGTGGTAAAGCCTCAGAGAACAGTAACAGCAGTGAAAAACTCCTGTCTGATAAAAGAACCAGAAGCAACACAGGACAGTCTGTAGATGAAGTGATATTCCTTATTAGAGCAACCAGTAAAGACAGAAGGGGACAAACTAAGGCACAAAACTCCTTCATCAGGTCCATGTGCCTGAAAAGGTATCATTTCTACCTGCAAGGCTCATCTTGCCCATGTCCTGAGATGACTGTTACTGCAACATCATAACTGCTAGGAGCAGGGATAAGGACATTTACAAGTATCAGAGCATTTAAGGGAAAACCCAAGCTCCATTATGATTCCTGGTGAAACAAACACATTGATGAGACACTGAATCCCCTTCTTAAACGATGATTTAACGCGTCTTGTTAAAAGTCTATGTATTAGAGACATACAATTCCATGCCTCTGAACTCAGAGCACTTCAATTTTGTCATTCCTGCATGTAATTCTGACTGTGATTACAGGAGGTTCCACTTAAATTTGAGAAGAAACTTCTTCTCAGTGAGGGTGATAGAGCCCTGGACCAGGCTGCCCAGAGAGGTTGTGGAGTCTCCTTCTCTGCAGACATTCAAAACCCGCCTGGACGCCTTCCTGTGCAACCTCATCTGGGTGTTCCTGCTCCGGCAGGGGGATTGGACTGGATGAGCTTTTGAGGTCCCTTCCAATCCCTAACGTTCTGTGATTGTGATTTCTTCTGACAAATGGAGATACTTTCCATCCCAGCAAAAAGGACCAGAGGAAGAAGCCCACTTCCTCACAGGCAGCAGGTGATTACTACCACCAAAACTGCCCAGGATACCTACTTGTGCATATAGAAGAAGATGTAGCCACTTCGGTCTCTGTCACACTGAACGGTGGCCTCCAGAGTTCTGGACACTTCCAGGTCGTTGTAGGTGAACCAGGACTGCTTCTTGATATCATAGACATCACTGATATAATGACCTTAAAAACAGAGAGCGCACCTTTCTTTTCCTGCTCCGGTTCAACCAGTGAGCTGGTTAGCTAGAGACCCTGGTCCAGTGACCTGTGTCAGATTTAAATGCTGAAAGACCCTTAAGATTCTGGCCCCTCCACTCTTCCTGGTCAATGAGCTGGTAACAAGCACAGGCAATGCCACAGACCCCATAGCAGCACTTTGTCCACGTGCCGCAGTTAGGCACCAAGACATCCTCAACCTGCTCCCCTGCCAGCAAACCATGATGGAAGACTTGCTTTGCTGCTTGAATTCTTCTCTGCAAATAATACTGCCACAGTAATTCTGTATTACAGATTAAGTTAGATAAGAAATGAAGAATAAAATACAGTATCTTTTACCTGAGGATGATGTGCTTCCAATATGGCTGACGATGCTGATGAGACGGTAGGAGTGAGGAAGCTCTCCTGTCTGAAAATAAAGTCCAATTAAAGAGTTCATTTTTGTCCCACAAAGTTTATGGACAGGACGATCTACACCTGAGATAACAGCTGAAACTCAATCAAGGATTACAGAAACAGACATCCTGATTCAGATCAAACCAAGTCCTTCCAGAAGTGGGAAAAAGCCTCACACTTTATTTAATTTTTCAGCAAACCAACGAACACATAAAAGGAGCCACCCTGACCTCAGAGCAGATGCTGACACGAGTTCTACACTGCAAAGTTTTCTAAACAACCATTTCCTGAGCAACTTCCACTGATGTCAGAATTAATCCTCCAAATAAACATAGAAGAGCAAAAAGGGAACACCACGCTTACTTCTGCAATATCAAAGAAATACCTTTGATAACTGTACACACACTTAACAGCTAATACTGGACATGCCCAGATTCTCTTGTCCTGAACCTGTAATATCAGCAGACAACGTGCTCTTTGCATGCAGGAAACATCACCGACAATAAAACTAAATGATGCTATTTGGCTTTTGACAATGACTTTTTAATTGTCTCTGACCAGGAGATGTTATTGATATGATTCACTGACAACACTCGTAAAATGTAACTCTCAGTTTAAGGGTAAGGAAATTGGTAAAGAAGGGTCAGAAAATAAAGACTGCTCAAGGAAACTCCAATTATTTAACCGTTTCCACTCTACACAGCACTCCTTCCAGTGAGGCAAGCAGGCAACATTCACACCACTCCTGTGTGGAGTCTGAGAGTGCCAGTGGCTGGCAGCACAGCCTGGCTTACAGCCACACTTCACCTCATGGGAATGAGAGCTTGCCACAGCTTCTCAGCTCTGGTGGTGCAGGACCTAGAGCCCATGGCGATGCAGCTAAACCACCATGCTGGCTGAAGTCCTCTCTCTAAGTAAAAACTTCAGGCCCATTGCTTTACTTGCACTGCAACATTTCTAGTATAAAATTACTGTTTCCTTTTCACCATTATCCACACCTTGGAGAAACTCAGAGGGTCTCTGCAGCTCTTTTCTTTTGTGTTTGTTTGGTTGGTTCGGTTTGTTTTGTTTATTAAAATGACACAATAGGAGAGACTCTTAAGGACAGCAATTTCCTGCCTTCACTTCTGAACATAAAAGTCCTTTCTAGACTCTACATCTGCTCTGTAAAACTCTCCAGCGCTAAACTGATGGTAAAGAAGGGGTGTATTTCTCAGTTGGCTTTTGAAATCATAAGATCCCACCTCAGCATTTCTTTTCAGCTCTTCTGCTTCAGCTTCTGAATACTCCATGTCAAGAATGTCCTCATTCCCAGAGTCTTCATCAGAGCCAACGCTGTCCAGGAGAGAGCTGTTAAACTCTAGACAGCATGGAAACGACGACACCGGGTAAGAAGCCGTGGCACACAGAGGAATTCACAACAGGTTGATATGTATCTATCCACATAAACAAGCACAATAAAATGCTAATGGTTCAAGCTTCCTTTCCAAGGAAAGCAGGAGACATTGGAATTTCCAAATAAAAACTCTCTTTCTCCAGCTTGTCAGGGCAATAGTTATGAAAAGTATCTCAGACTACAGAAGTAATTTTAGCATCATATCTCAAAGACGATGACTTTTACAAAAGAGTACTGTAACAATGGTAACTGGGTGACAAAAGAGCACTTAAACTGCCAGTCTGCTCCAGAGCACTGATGGGCTGCGGCCAGAACCCACATTAAAGGAAGCACAGCCAAGCTGGTCAGTGAACTTGAAGTTTCTGCACCAAGAAGCTATGAATTACAGTTTTAACTATAAGTTGCATTAACAAAGTGCATTTCTCAATTACAACTGGCATCCAAATGCTACTGCTGGCAGCAGGCATCTTTTCATTGTTTTCAATGGTAAGAAGGCTGCTCACCGCAGGAACTTCCAGTTTGCTTGGCTGAGCAAACTGCAGGCAGCTTTCTGTAAAGAGCCGGAAGGCACCGCTGCTCCCTGTACACGCTGTTCCAAACTTCCTGGGATTCTGCAGCTACCCGACTAATTTAAGATTTCGTACAGTACTCATTAGGAGAAGTAGCTACGTTTTCACCAGCTAAATTAAAGCCACGGAGCGCTGGGTGGATGAGAAGTTGAGATTAACAGGACACCGCTCAGGATACTTTATTTATTTTATTTTTTTTAAAGAGACTATCAGCCAGTTATGATGCAGATGTTCTGCTTGCCATGTTAAACCATCAGACTCTGGATTAGTATAATCTTCTTGGGAAGTTTATAGATTAATCCCTTTAACTGAGAATATTTTACTGCTGGTTTCCATGCTTGTTCAGGCTGTTGTAAGCCAGACTACAGCCAAGAAACAGCCACTTGGGTATTGCTAAACACCACCTCACCAATGGCTGCTGGATGACGAGTGGCTCTTTGATCACAGCACCACTGGAAACCCTTCTAAGATAAATGCTACCAGACATATGGTCAAGATTCTTAGCATCTCCTTGAACAACTGCTGGTTGGTGCCTCACAAACGACAGTAGCGAGTTGAGAAGCACAAGGCAATGCTCATGTTTAAGTCAAGCGACTGCAAATCAGGAGGAAGAAGGATTTGGATTTCTAGGGCTGAAGTCTTCCCAGAAATAAATCAAGGAAGATCTGAGAGGGACTGGGCACTCTGTCTGCCAGAGCTCATCCAGGGCCAGGACTCAAGCTGAGGGACGTTTAAGCAGCATTCAACTTTCTCCTCTTCAGAAGCAGACACAGGTTCATCCAGTAACAACTGAGGGCCTTTAAAGGTGCCTGAGCAACTACGAGTATCTTAACACAATACTTCATTACACCTCCCTCTCCCTCCTCGGATCAAGAATTTTCTCTGGGTTATGCTCTGCTCTGCCAGGTCGTATGAAATCACTTGCATGCCAGCCTCACACAAATGTTAAACAGTGCCCGAGGCTCACCATGCTGTCTGGATTCGGGAAACACAGATAGCGTACTCTGAGTTTCTTTTTTCACAGCCAACAGCTATACCTCACAGTGAGGTCTGTCTCTCTCCTATCCTTTATCAGGCAGGGAGAACACTTATTTGTCTTCCTGGGCAAGGCCAGTGCATTAATTAATCAGCACTAAAATATCAACACAAGTAAGAAATAATCCTTATGCTTTGACTAGAGGCATCAGCATGCCTGCTTTTCCTAGGAATGCGAAATTTCACGGTCCATTTTGCTATATATATTCATATATTCATTATAATAAAATGAATATTATAAAAGTACAATATTATGTATCTAATTATGCATTTGTTTACATATATAAAAATAAATTAAAACCTCAAGAGACTGAAATAAGTCATATTTCTTACTAAAATTTTCCTGGTATTTGCTTTCAAAACCAAGAGCAAGAAAAGCTGACCTGAGCAAAGCCAAACACAACAAAGCACACACCAAAAGAGCACGAAATCCCAGCTGTATTAGACACTCAGGAGCTGCACTCACACATATCTATTTCCCTCAAAAGCAACCTCCTTGAAGAAGTTAAACGAGTTTCACCTTGTAGACTTAATTCCGTGGCTCGTTTAAGGTCATCATCCTCTTTCTGCTCTCGTGCCTCCTGACGGGAAGAGAACAAAACTTAGCTCATTGAGACACTTCACTGTTTAAAATTCTTGTAGTGCTCTTTTTCCATTGAAACTGTGCTGCTCTGGTTTCTACAACAAACCTGACATTGTAAATTAAAGGTTCCATGTGAAGGAATGTTTGCAACCAGCCAGAGTCCAATGTTCCTGCGCAGCAGAACCTGGGACAAACCTTCATTAAGGCTCGTCAAAGTTCCTGAAGTTTGGTATGCAGCAGAGCGAGTCTGTAGTAACACCAATTGCTTTCTCTGGATCATTAGTTTGAAAAGCATCCGAATGAATTTGCAACGTTTCGCTAAGGAAAGCTGTCACCCACACACAAAGCTCCTCACGCTTCAGCAAAATTTAGACGACCTGTGCTCAAAGCCAGCTGAGGGCAGGGTCATTAAATCCTGCCATATTTCACTATTTTTAAGGCATTTGAAGGTGGAGCCAGTGGTTCCATGTCACAGGTGAAACTCAAAGGCAGGATGTGAAAAAAAAAAAAAAAGACACCACCATGCAACCAGGTATTAAAAATATTACCACGAGCAAGTAGCCAAGAAACCTCAAGTCAACAAACCCTTCTAATGTTTGGATAATATCATGGCCCTGGTCCTTCCACCACTCTTGAAAGCTCAGAGCTACAGCCAGCCAGGCGATAATATTTCATGAGCTGGCTTCTTAATTCAGGGTTTGGATGCTTTGGGTGCACCTGAACGCAGAACCCTAACTACGTATTTCAAATCAAGATAAACACAGCTACTGTGTTTCCATGCCTGAATCATCAGAATAACAGATTTTTGCTTCAGAACTGCAGCAGAACTACACTCCAAGGGCAGTTTTACATTATTAGCATGAGGCCTTTTATCTCACTATTTCTAAAGCATTTAAAAATCTTTGTTAAACCATTCACTGTTGCTGAATCAAAGCTACATCTGGCATGGAACAGAACAACCAGCACCTCCTAATGAGTAATGGGAGAGAAAATCCAAGAGCCATGGAAACATCAGATCTCATAAGGAAAACCATGATAGCTTTAGTATTAGTAGAGAGCAGACAAGGGCACTTATTTAAAGACCTGGCTAAGTGCTTGCTCCACTCTCAATGGCTCAGTTAAACTTGTGGACATTAGTTACAGGTCTTGAAATTCAAGTGGAATACAAATGGTTAGCACACAATCCGAGATCCCAACTCTTTCCAAGTCTAATTTAAAGGACTTGCTTTTAGACTACATTATTTGGGAATCTTTTTCCAATTTACTGACAGGAGAGGATCACATACATGCTCAGTTCCTATATTCTTCACTAAGCATCCTCTACTTTCAGAAACAAGGCACTGGGATAGACAAATCTTTAACTTGACCTGGCATGGCCCACTTTCGCCTTTGCTTTGAAGCCTGCTTCTTTCACTTTGCATCTTGACAAAACACGCTGCAGGGCCTTCAGGCAAGAAGCTAAGGGTAGGTTTGGTTCTCAGTGACAGATAGCAAGAGTTTAGTTTAGTTTATCATCGTTCTTATATAATGTTACAAGCCAGTGTATAAATGTGCACAGAAAGCTTTGAGAAATCTGCAGGTCTGTGATGTGATATCTGGTTTCCAAAGCACACACAAAACGTGTCCAGACGTATCCAGTGCTGTCACTCTACTGACAAGGGAGCTAGAAGAAACCCAAACCTTTTTTTCAACTGGTTCTCCCAAAAAAGCAGGAGCATCCCTTTGCCGTTACTGTCTAAACAGAAGCTTTTCCTTCAGCCATCACGTTTCCAGTGCTGGGGAAGACAACTCAAGAAAGCAAATTTTATTCCTTACTTGCTCTTGAAGGCTTTGAGCCAGCGCCTGCTGAAGTTCCTGTTCTTCCCTCTCTCTCTCCATATCGTACTGCTGCAGCCAGTCAACCTCCCCCTGGGAGCCTTCTGGAGTTTTGTTTTCCTTATTCTCATCAAAATCTTTAGTTATTTCGGTGAAGTTGGCAGGACCTGAGGAATCAGAAAGTACAGTTATGCTTTCCTGGGTCTTCTGTTTGTTACCAGCTAAATCCTCTCTAAATCACCACAATCCTTGCAGCACAGTGACATCTATTGACAGAGAGAGCTCACCAGACAAAAAACCACACAAAAGTCAAATGGAAAAAGCTCCAAAGCACAGTCTTAATGTTATTTTAACAGGTGTAGATGAACCATTTGATGACTCGCTGAGTCCGTTCTCTTCTTAGCCCTTTATGTTCACTCAGACAGAGCAACTTTAACTAAAGGAAGATGTCCCACACCACCAGGTTTCTGCAGCCATGAAGCTGATACTTGAATTTCTCTAGAAGAAACCATGGATTACAAAAATTTACATTGCATATTACACCTCGGAGTACACCAGACAAAGCCACAATTAAAGCCAAATCACACGTAAGACAGAAGGAAGCACGTATCTCAAGCACTGTTTAAATTTGTCAACTTTTTGCTTCAGGAAAGAGCCTCAACCTTGCGAACTTTATCTACAGCTTTAAAAGTGCAAGAAGATAATAACTTTTCAGTTCACCTTTGAAGTGAACACTGTGACAGAAGTATTTTATAAAACTTTGGAAGTGAACATTCATTCAACCACTGCATCTGCTGCAGTTGCAGGACAGCGATTCTCCCATTTGCTGGCAGCTGAGAAGTCAGGACCTGCTCTGACAGCTGCCACGCAGCAACACGTGAAGCTTTCTACTTCTGCCCTGTGCAGACTTCTGCTCGTGAGTTCTTAGTAAGGATTACACAAAGCAGTCTCAGTTTCCGTGACCCCTTAAACATGAGACCACTAGAACCAGAACTACAATCCACGAGTTTAATACTCTTACAAAAAAACAGATTTGTGACCTTTGAAAACTTCCAGTGTAAGAATACTCACTTGACACAACTGCTATTTGAGGATCACGCCGCAGAAAAGACATCTTTTTTCATATCTAAATTAGCCCTTTTTGAAAGCACCACCAATTATTCAGTGTGTACAAAAAAAAATACATTCACATTTTCACAGTTCAGCGAATTAAACACTTTATACACAGGGAAACTGTAAGAAAACTGAGGAAGCCAGGCAGTTTCAGCAGTGCACTTGCACCCAGATTCTGCTACTACACATTACCAACCTGCTACTATCAGTAACCTGCTTTAGCTCACTGTAGTTCAATTAAGATGGTTACTCTGCCTTACCCGAGTCTAATGCTGCTTTGGGTTTCTCCATCTCCATAGATTCCAGGTTTTCCGGCAATTCCTGAATTTCGTCGTCTCCAAAACCAGTGTCTAGGCTGCTTGTGGGCTTATCTTCATCATGGCTCAGAGACAGAGAAGCTTCCCTTTTGCTAATCTCTAAGACAGCTGCTAGCAGCTCATCTTCGCTCATCCCATCAAAACCAGCGTTACCCAGATCAGGTTTATCACCTTCCATTTTACTTCTTTTTGAACCCTGGAGATGAATGGAGTTACAATTAAACGCTTGAATAAACAGGTATATAACATCAGCTTTACATTTTTGTGGAGATTTTATTTATTTTATTAACCCCAGGGAATGGGGGCTTGGCTCTGTCAACAGACTCAATGGAGAGACAACCTTTGTAGCTACATTCACTCCAAGGAATAATATTTAAATATAAACTACAGCCAGTTTTTACAGGCCCTGTAGATTAACATTTGCAAAATAACTCTTCCCTTCTCCTTTCTTTCCTTAAAATGTGTGTTCCACCTTCGGGTTCTGATGAATCCTCAAGCTTCTGGCGGGTCAGTGCGGAGACACAAGCAGCAAAATTGCAAGTTTGTTACCAAAGGCTGAAGCAGCAACATGAGAGTAACAGAACTGGAACACAGGGATGAAAGAATAGGAACTGAAATCAGGCTGGTGCAAAGAGCAATTAAAATTGGGTTTGGTGCTGCAGACTTGCCACACAAAATCCTGAGTGGTGGGGAGGACTCTGCAAACGGAGTAGAGCAGTTAACCAGGGAAACGGGGGAACTGTTCCCTCCTAAGGAGAACAGAATGACTTTAAATTGGAAGAAAGGAAAACCACTTCAGTCTTAATCTGAATTTTTCCTTTTTCAGTAATTTTCCCAAAACTGACACTCATCAACTCCTACACCATATTGATTTACGACTAATAAAGTCATTTCAATGATTTTGATAGTAACGTAAGCAGATTACCCTCCGTGTATACATATTTACATAATCACACTACTTACCATATGCTTCATTTTTTCCCCATATATTATGTTAAAAATGGGGAAAAATAGTTTCTATTAGAATGTACTTAGCTAGGTTTTATTCCAAACTGCATTTGGATGGATCTCAGAACTTTGTTAAAAGGAACAAAAGTAATTTTTACTGCTGCTTTTTACTTAAAGACAGCAAGCTTTTGATAAGCAAGGACAGTTGTACATAGCACACATTTAATATCAAAACTGGCTCATCAAACAAGATCAGCAAATAAACTAGCCAACTCAATTCTTTGTCTCTGGCCATCGTGCCCTCCAAGAACCAGAACTTACAAACTCAAACCTCCCTCCTCACATCTATTCATGCCCTGAATAAGGAGAGCAGAGGACCTGCTTTTTAAGAGTTCCCACTTCCCTCTCTGCACCTGCAGGCTACCAACATCAAAACTGATTTAGCTGTACAGCGAGCTCTGCTTACAGCCACTTTGCCAACAACTACCACTGTTTCAGTGGCTGGACTTTAAAGACTTGGCAGCATCTGTGCATTATTTGAATACAGCTTTTCTATTAGAAATTATTTGCATAGATTTTAAGTAGCTTAGGCTCCAAGACAGGCTGTTTTAAGTAAATGTTTTTCAAGAAGTACTCCAAATACTACTGCAGAGGCAGCAATCGCAGCTCTGCCCGCTTCAGCTGGAAGCTGGGCTATTTGCCCCTACAATCCAATGTCTGTCAAGCCCCCAGTGCGATCCCATCCACAGCTGCTGAGCAGCACACCCAGGGAAATGGTGCAGCAGCAATAAAGCCACTTCTAAGGACCAGGTCCTTCCAGGACAACAAGGAAGAGGACAGAGGATCTGGTTAATGATCACAGATGGCTGCTCAGGCCTGTGGTTGAGGAGTGGCCAACATGCACACCACAAACAATAAAGTCACTTACGTGGAATCCTCACCACCACCGTCTCTTTCCCACGACAGCCTGGAAAGCCTAAAATTAATTTGCTATTCAAATTAATAGGCTTTATTCGCACAATTTCTGCTCTCACAGGGCTTGTGCGATAGACACCACCTACACTTCCTCAACAAACAAAACTTGAGGAACAATTGTTTAGAAAGTTTGGAATGCTTTTTCTACGAGGGACTTCAAAGCCAAGCCAGTTTCCTTTCCCCATCCACAGCCAGCTCTAGACGTGCCATCCAGGACAGCAGTTGCCTACTCAGGCCCCGAGATCTTCAGCAAAGGGTTTTCTGCTTTCCCCAAAGCAAGCCATTCCATTCCTAACTTCTGAGCATCAGAAAGCTTTCCCTAATATTTAATATAAAAATTATTACCTGCAATTTAAGTCTTTTTCTTCTTATTCTATCTGCCATGAAAACAGCACAAGTGTTCCCATTAATTTCTTTCCTTTCCTTGAAGATACAAGCCCTGCTTAAGTTTCTCCTTAATCTAAAGCACCCAAGTTCACTTCTCTGCTCTTCCCTCCACCAAATTCTTCCTTTCTAGAGCTCTGACCATTCATGTTCCTCTCCTCTGGCCTCTCTCCAACTAATCTATAACTCTTCTGGAGTCCAAAGCTATATATAGAACTCCAGGTAAAGCTCAATGCTGAGGAAAAAAAGGAAGGATTACTTCATGCAACCTACAGGCTATGCACACTTGTGTTTTCAACCGGCCTGACCTTGTGACCAACTCACCCTTTGCTCCTCTCTGAAGGCCCACTTCTTTCCCAGCTAATCCCACCCTGCGTTTACAGCTGATTAGTCCTGCTAAGATTAGCACCTTTGGCCCGATCCTACTGAACAACTCCTCCTGTTTTTAGGCAATTACTCAGATTTGTCAAGATCATGCTTAACTGTGGTTCTGAGTTTCAACACACTTGCAGCCCTTTACAGCTCTGTGTCTTCTTACAATTTAATACTATTAGTTTTACCATTTATTAAATACCAAATGGATTGAGATCATTCCCTGGTTTGATCTTATCAGAAAAGAAACTATAGACATCTACCTACTGTTATACAGCCAGCTTTACAACTGTCCTTTCAGGCTATAATCAAGACCACAATTCTCTGCTTGATTAAAATAACCTCATTAACACTGTCAAAAACTTCAGAGAAGTGGTGATGCAGGACTCCTGTCCTAAGCACTAGGCCTGCAGCACTCTAATAGAAGAAAGTGGTACTGCAAGATAATCCTCTAAGCTTCTTGCTTTCCCTTCTGGGTCATCATTCTTCCCCAGACAACTCATCGACCTACTAATACACTGCCCTGATGGAGGCATCTTGGCAACATTCGTACTAGCCACAATGAAGAGCTAAAAGGCAATTTGAAGTTCATCGCACCTTTACACCAATGAACTCAATCTCTCCACAATTCTATGAGTCCAACTCCAAAGAGAGCTTCAGTTTCTAAAAGCTTTTAAAAAGCCACACTTGAAAGGGGACACAAATTGGATGTGCAACAAGGTCCCTCAGTTGAATGTTTTGCTTAGCCCAGCTTGTACTGGATCTAATTTAATCAAGGGCTTTGCGGCATAATTTTATTATTGACCATGAAACTTCAGCATAGAAATATTATTAGTGAAAGTTACCCCAAGGACTGACAGAACTGCTAAGCAGCTGGCACACATAACCTGAAAACTTAAGTGCAGTTGCAACACAATTACCTCTGTTCCCAGTGGGAACCCAAGACAAGGGTACAGAGGTCAATTAGCAAAGCACTCCCTTACAGTACTGCAGTGCTGATTAGGAGAAAAACTTACATCAATTTTACTTCGATTCTAAGCCAAGAGAAGCACAGGCCAGACAGGAGCACATACAGGATCTATGTAGATGAAAGACTGTGGTTTTTTCCCTTACCTTTTCCGGCTCTTCTTGCAGTTGTTGCTGATCTCTACTCTGTATGTTACACAACCTTTGGCTATGGGCAACAGAGCGCTTCAGTGGCTCATCATCACTGTCAGAGTCTACACAGAGTGCTGCGGAGCTCTTTGACGTGAAAGTGTATTTTCTGTAAGCAATAAACACAGCTATAAGACTGTTAAACAGCACTCATTTGAGTCGAGCCCACAGTGACGTGCACAACTCGGCACAAACCATGTGACTTCTGAAGTTCACTAAGCCGGACACAGGACTTTCCACATCATTACAAGGATATAAAAAGCACAAATCTGCACAAGTTTTTCAGTTTTCCCATTTGCTTCTTTAGGAGAGAACACAAGGGAGTCTGGAGAAGTTGCAATTTCTGCTCAGTTAGGAAATGTGCTCTTTAAGTATTCCACACCACAAAACTACCCTGTGTGAGACCACATTTTTCACTGTATCAAAAACTGACCTTTCAAAATGGCCTGTAAGAACAATGCCTCTCATCTTTGAAAATAAACTTAAAGAACCACCTGTTCCAAAAGCACACACTGGGGCTCCATAGAGCCAGAATAAAGAGCAAGAGTGCAAAATTTGAAGCTGTTCTGCTTCTTGTATACGTGACTTGCAACTACAAATGCAAGCTAGTTAAAGATGGCTGGCACTGACAAATCATCAGTACAAACTAAACCCAGTTCTCATTCTTATGCTCAGCCTTCTGTTCTGAATAAAAAAGAAATAAATAAATAAAGCTTTGCTTACTTACAAATCCTGAAAGGCTCTCAGGAAAAATGCTAAGGTGATTGTGTCAACTAGGTAAACTGTACCACTGATGTTAATTTCATCTAGCATGTAACACAAATCAAACTCAGATATGAAAAAAGACAGTAGCTGAAATAATTTATCACAATAGAAAAGATAAGAAAATAAAATGAGTAGAAAAAGTGGAATGATTAAAGGATTAGAACATTTTTAAATGCCTTAGAAATTATCCCATGAAACCTCAGGCCATGGGCATTTCAGAGCTATAACTCACCTACAAGGTGTGGAAGTGCTTATAGTACAGGAGTTCACCATTTGGGAGGCTTTCAATGGACGGGAACTATTAAAAAAGCAGAGCATTTATTGCAGCAGTTAGAGTCTTTAAAAGTTAAGTGTTTACTTGTCTGCTTTGCATGCAAATCCATGCCCAAAGAACAAGCAGAATACCACTACATACTTGCTAATTGCTTTTTAGAGTAGTAGCTCCATCATGCTATAAATATACAACAGTTGTTCAAAACCATATATAATCCTTTAAACTTGATTCACTTCTTAGTGATGCACCCTTAGGGATAAGCTCACAAATCAAAGGCTTTGGGTTCCCATGTCAAGACAACTCATTCCTTCTTTTTAATTCCCCCAACACTTGAGTTCCTGCTCCCAAACCAGAGTCTCCTGCCGCAGTCCAGATCAGCCGGTTTTCTGGCATGTCCCATGTCTCCATTTCTCCTCCCTTACCCAGATTCCTCTAAACAAACTTCCTGCTCCATTTGATCAGGTGCTCCTCAAAGTCCATCACTATCACTACACATCTATCCACCAGATGGCTGCCAATGCAGAAGTCTTTCCCCATCTTCCCCTTCAAACCTGGGCTGGTTCTTTCCAGCCTAGTCACCCTTCCGCTCTCTGGTCAATCGGCATGGTTTAAATTATTTTAAATTTAAAAAAATAAAGCGCCACTGGAAAGCTATTTGAAATTTATTTTCAAGTTATTTCTGTTCTGGTTAGCTTAAGCCGTTTGTTGTGTTTAAGGGGTAAAGAATTCTATTGTTAAAGCGAACTCTTGGAAAACATCCCTGTCAAATGCCAGCAGGCATTCAGCACAAGAACACGTCACACCGCTGAACACAGACACCAGATGTGTCCTAACTCACTATGGCTCCCGTGGTTATGTCACGAGGCAGAGACCACAAGAGACCCGAGGGTTTCTTGTGCCTTATGCTGCCACGGACTTCCTATGTGACAACTGGCACATTTAACCTCTGTGTTTCAGGACAAGCAGCTGTACAGAAATAACTGTCACAGGTAAAAGGAGAGAGTATTTTCAGCACATGAAGTGTTCAGACACTACTGTGGCACAGGAAAGACAATGAAAACAGAATGATAGCACAGGAGGTGCAAGTGGAAATCAGCAGGAAAAGGCAGGATGTTACATCTCCTACACAGAGTTAAGTGTGCTGTGAAGGGAAAGGCAATCTGGATTAATTTGGAAAGAGAGGTGTAAGTTTCAGAAATTACTAACAGACACTCTCTTAAAAAGGATAGAGAGTTAGTGTTCTTTGCTGTCCTTGAAAACATCTCACCAAACATCCCCTAGATAATGTCCCAGCAACTCTACCTACTGCTTCTATCACTCTTCCTTTCCATACATGTTCTCATGATGGCACCGTTACAAACCAGCAGTGCACATCTGAAGCTGCATAATTTTACCTTTTCCTTGCCCAGACACCTTCTGATAACTGCCTAACTTGTGACATTTGTGCTTAACATGGCACAGATTCATTGCAGGTTGCACACTTACATTGCAGAATGGACATTCCATCCCAGTGTCAGCGGCAGCCTTGTGCTGTCCATACAGTGTGAAAGCAGGGTCAAGTATCTTGGAATAACCACCTGCTGCCCAACTTTATGATTGAGAGACAATGCTACATTGAAGCTGTATCGTTTCAGATGAAGAATCAGGACCCTGAGGTATACAAGAGGACAAATGTTAATGTCAGGACAGAGTCAGAGAAAACCTATTCAAAATCCAAGTAGCCCTGCTTACAAAATGCATTCACCTGACCCAAACAGATTACTACTTCGGGGTGGTAGGGAAACACTATCCAGCTCTTATCTAGCAAGAGACAGGTAATTACTCTCCTGACCATCACTCAACTTTGTGCAAGGTGCAGAGTGCAGACTCTGACAACTCAAGAGGCTTCCTGCTTTGATTTACATTACCTTGCTCTGCAGTCAAGCAGAAGCAAGCAGCTCTTACTGAACTCATTATTTCTACTACATACTGAGAGGTAGGAAGCAATCGAAACATTACCATTATAGGCCAGAATGCTGCTGTATTACTCCCAGATATTCAAGAATGTGATGGAGGGATCATACAGTTGACAGCAAGTGCAAAGGAACTGTGCGCTTGGTTTATCTGTCACAGCATTTTCTTTTTGAAAGAGCTTTTGACTACAACAGTCTAAAGGACCTGAAAAGGCCTCCTTACACTGAATCTCCTCCCTTATGCTGCACTTTGTACTATCTATTTACATCATGCAGCTGTATCATCACTTACAGTGTATTTATGCTAGCACTGCAAAACCCTATTTAAGCAAAACACAAGCTAACTACCAAGTTCACTGTAAGTACACCTGGGACAAGGGCATTGACCAGATTAAGTCATCCCATAGTCTCTTTTAGCTTTATATTCCATGATAAAACGATCCCTAACTCCAAGCACACCCATTCTAAATAATGAACTAAACTCAAATCACAAGGTCAGACACTATTAAGCATGCCATTAACCCTCAAAGTGTCTGCCTTCCTCCTCCAAGTGCCATGCTTACTGAGAAAGAAAACAAGTATCAGCATGGGAAGAATTAATTGCTCAAAACAAAAGCCTCTATATACCTTCTGGCACTAATGCCTCCAACTTGGTCCTGCCCATCAGGTCAGCTGAGCACAAAATAATGTATTTACAGTTTCCACTTCCCTCACGCCCTCGAAACCCCAAGAAAAAGGAAAAACTCAGCTGTCCTTGTGTGGTGATATGGAGGAAAAAGAAGTGCTGCAGAGGGTGCCCAAGAGTTTCTTCAGAGAGAAACTGAAGACTAGCATGAAGACTACTGTCTGCATGTACACCTTTCTCACATGCTGACCACTGTATATGCTCCTTTACCCATTATCCCAGCCCTACTCTTCAGGGGGCTTCTGCTTGCACTTTTTTAACACATGCTTCCAGGAAAGAGAGGAGCAGAGGTCAACATTTACCTGGGAAGCCTGTTGAACTTGTGTGTGACAACAGCAGACTTTCCATTGCACTTCTCACAGGAATATTCAATCTCCTCTGCCTGTTTAAGAGAGCAGAAAAACAACTGGTGGAACAAAAGACACAAACAGATCTCAACAGAAAGCAGATCACTTTTGGCTGTCATGGAAGCTCTTCAAAACAGCAGTTACACTTAAAATTATAATCACCTTCAACAGAGCCTAACAAGAGGGCATCTGATAAAAGGACAAGTAGCAGAGCTTACGATTGGCAACTTACCCACTAATACAGGTGGGATTTTTACTGCAAGTCTACTGCTGACCAGTGAATTACCCCCAGTTCAGACAAATTAGTTTCCAAAGAGAGGGGACAACCTTGCAAAGCTTACAGTTTTCTCTCCCACAGAGAGTTGGGTTTTTTCCCCTCAAGAACCTTTGGTGGGGCACATTTGCCATGAAGGTTTCTCTCTTTTGCTCAAAACCTCAACTCTGTTCCTGAAAAGCTGTCCTCATCTGAATTTGTCAAGGACGTGCTGCACCAGAGTAGTTTTGAACAGACAGCAAAAGGGGAAGCATCACTGTGCTGAAATTACACGACTTAGCCAGCAAAACATTTCTGCATCCCTTTTCTTTAAGGGAGGCCATAGGACACCACTGTAATTTTAAGGATTTTTTTTTTTAATAAGACCTCCACCAGTGTTTAGAGAAATAAACCCATCAATTATTCCAACTGTTGAAAACATTATCTGTAAATGAAGAACAAAACGGGTCTTTCTCAAGATACAACAAAATACAACACTAGCTCAGAGGTAAGGCTCATTTTTAGCTTTTGGAAACTTCACCTCGAAGGTCTACTACAAAACGAGCATCCATACATTACAACTATTTTTTAAATTATTGTATCTGTATGACCTTTTTTACCTCCATGCCAATTTAGGCCAGTACGCACACTGTTGAAGCATCCTAGCCCAGGAGAGGAAGCAGCAATTCCCGAGTGACAATCTCAATCTGACAGCCTCCCTGCTCTCCTTTGCATTTGTTTTTGTCTCAACGCTTCCACCACAAAATGGGGAAGTTTACCTATTTTACAGCAGTATTGTAAAGATCAGTTATTTTCTCACAGCATTTTAAAATACAAGCTACTATCGACTGTTAATGTTCAAATCTCAAAAGAGCGCAAAGTTAATTATTTCACATGCCTGCAACCATCGTCACAGAAACTAATAATCAGCTGCACAATCGAAGTCTCCATATGGTGCATAACCTACACATACTACACAACCCCAAGACTACGTACCCGAAAAAAGAGGTCAAGGGAATCCTGGATCGATCGAGAAGGAAGCAATTTCTTTCTTCGAGGAAGGTCAATGGAGAGGTCATTAAACTGTTCTCGTTTGGTGACTGTTTCACCACACCTGAAAAAGAAACATGCTCATGTAAGTCTGATGAAGAAGATACTTGAAATTAGTGACAACTTAATTTTTTAGGCTAAAGTAACTTCCCACTAAAGTAACTTTCCAATAAATGCCTCTTGATCCATCTCTGTAGATGGATGTAGAGTCCATCAAAAAAGAAATATCAACTTTTTAATGCTTTTTAAAATCAAAACAAACAAACAAAAACCTTACCGTCATTTGTCTTCAGTAATTATTACATACATGGAATTTACTTTTAATTATTTTAGGAAACTAATGCAGCACACACAATGTAATATTGTCAAATATTTGCGTTCAGGAAAACTCCAAAGAATGCAAGCATCCCATATGGGAATCTGCTGCAGAAAACATACACAACAAATGGCCAGACATAGCACTTCACATCTTTTTCTGTGATAACCTATAGAGACAGAAGAAAATGCCATTCCCTGGAATCTCTTAGGAAACAACAAATTAAAAATATGGCTTGCATTTTTTTTTTTAAGAGGAAACATTACTTGGCTGAAACCCCCCTTTCCTCCCTGTTCTCATCCAACCATTACACAAAACACAGCAGCTTTCCTCTGGATATGTAATGAGGAACTAAACAGTATGAAACTGTTTAAAGAAGGCCTGTAGCAGCAGGCAGCACAATGTGAGGTTTACAGCATTACAGAGTAGAATATTTTCTAAATACCTAACTTTGGAAAAGACGGAGTTCTTTGTTCTAGTTACAGTCTGCAGATGGAGTCACGAAGGATGGAAACACTTTCCAGGCTTTTAAGGTAAGCATGAGAAAAGCTCTCAAACATACTTACGTTTTGCAAATGATAGAATGCTGAACCTCAAACTCTAAGTTACTGATAACTGGACATGTATAGACTTTGGTGGCTGAGACGTCATCAGAAGCCCGTCCAGGTGAGTTATCCTCATTGGTGACTGGCTCACTCTTCCAAGTTTTGTTTAACTTTTCCATGTCTTCCTTCAGCTGATCCAGACACTGGCTCAAGAACTCATGTGCATCCTAGAAATGGGGTAAACTCAAACTCATTTTGTACAACTTATTAAGGTATCTCTCCCTTCTCACACACAGACTGGGGAAATTATAATTTAGCCCACTGCATTCAGCAACACTAAGACAGTATTCTGGTCTAAAAAACAGCAGCAATTACTGTCATACAGTCAAAAGCTCAAGTCGTTATCAAACGGAGCTGAAGCTTGACAGGAGTTCAATGCAGTTCAAACAGCAAACAAAATACACGGAATTGTTTCTAGACAATATGGTACCTACATTCTGCATGTACCCAGAAAATCTCTCGGCAGTAGCTGAAATGGCACTTTTCACCTTCTTGAGCAGCTCTTTCTTAACCTCAGGGCTGCAGACGTCCTTTTTAGCAAGCAGATGGGCAAAACGTCTGCAGAAGTCAATGCAAAGAAACTGATTGGTTTTCCAGGACTTCAGAGAAACAAAATAAAACTCATGATACCTCATTTTAAGATTCTCTAAAAGCTTTTTCCCCGTGATAAGTGGTTTAGGGGTTTTGTATGAAAATATCTCATTTATTATTAACCTTTTCCATTTCAAGCATTTTGAAATCTCATTTTAGGCTGTCATTGTAACAGGACCCAAATGAACAAAAAAATTCCACAATCTTCTAAGGTAAAGAGAAGAGCCTTATAAAGTTCTAGAAGCCTTTTTCTGCTATATCTTTTACAAGTTATGTCATAGTAGATATACGGAAAGATGACGGGAATATGTCACATTCCATCACACAAACACAAACACACAAAGACAGAGAAGATCTGTGCAATCCACTCCTGCCCCAAATCAACAACTAATACTCAGTTACCAAAAGAATCTGATCAGCTTACTGCAGCTCAACAAGTTTCTGCCGTTCTGCTGAGCTACAGTAGCAGTGTGAGCTGCCCACTGAAGCACGTTAGGAAACACCTTCTCACCACAAAGCAACCGATAGGCAATTGCATTCAAACCAGAAAAACATTCATCATGTGAGATCAAGTGCCCATATCCAAGGCAACAGAAGTCAAAGTAGATGCTGCCCAGTGTCAATTCTGCCTTGTACTTAAGCACAGGATCACGCACTGCCCTCCATCAGAGGTACAATGGCACAAGCTCTACCCACTCAGTTTGCCATTAGCTCCATGGGACACAAGTTTCAGAGGTCTTTTTACACAAACGAAGGAAAGGACATTCCAAAAAGTACATGGAACAACCTCTGATTCCAAGCAGCATAGGAAGAGTTCAAGAAGCCATAGAAAAAATAGAAATTACACCAAAAGGTATCAAAGATTATGAACTGGGAGCAGAAATGGTTCTGATATCCTGAACCTTGTTTAGTGACAGAAAAGAAACAAGGAACACAAGAGCACACATAACAAAAATCCCAAAAGGCAGAGAGCATGATACGTAGACGAATGGCAGTTTGTCTTTCTAAGAGAGACATAACAGAATCTGAATGGTACATTAATTCAGTGTTTCAAAGAAGAAAAGAGTTTTACATATTACAGAAACCTTTGGAGTTTCCTGAGGCTTGACTGAACCAAGAGTTCAGCTGAATTTAGAAAAAGATTAAATATGCAGAACTGAAACACTCTGCACAGCTACGAGACAAAGAATACTTTGCAAAGAGGCATACGCCCTCACATATCAGGTACAGTCAGTGACCAGTTTAAACCCTAGCTGGTAATGTTTAAAAAGAAGTTCTTCTCCATCCATTTATTATGCAGTTTCTTGCACTTTCTTCTGAAGCGGTTCACTCTGCCACTAGAAATACAGTGGAACGCATTCAGAGACCGCCTGTAACTCCACAGTGTAATTTTCAAGAGCCTACTTCCTATTTCTAAAGTAAAACACTGAAATACAGAGAGCTCTAGAATTTTATTATCTACACATGCAAATTACCTCTACAACGGCGCTTCAGTATTACAAAACTGGTTTCTCACCAATGAAAGAGAAAGTAACCTTCCCAGAAAGTGAATTTTACCTGATCAGCGCATTGAGTGGAATTTTTTTCCATGGGATGCCCTGCTTGAGCAAATCATTAGCAAAAGACTGAATTGAAAACAAGGACTGTAGAATGGCATTCATATAGCAAGTGTTTCCCAAGTTTGAAAATCTGAAAAACAGAAGATTGAACATGGTACGTATGTCAATGCATAAACATGTCAGCATTAAACATGGCACTGCTCACAGGTAGGACATTCAACCCAGCCATTCCCCACAGTTTCTCATTGGAGCTGTCCTCCTGCCCCTCCAGCTGAACTGAAAACTCATGAGAGACAGCATTTATCAGGAAAGCACCCATGAGTTTCTACCATAAAAAATTTTTAAAATATGTGTATATACACAAGATAGAGAAATGAATCGTGAAACTATGAAAGGAGCATAAATTACCCAAAATTATTACATTACTAAAATTTTCAGGAAGTGAATTTAAGGATACATATCTTCCAAACTAGGAAAAGTGCTCACTATCTCAGCGTTCATTAATTTCAGGATATGTTTTTTCACTGAATAATTATAACAAGAATGTGCACGTTCTGATAATAAAACTGTGCATGCTGGATGAAGAAAATTACATTTACCCTTGTAATTGTTGTTGAGGATGGGTGGAAAGGGGCACCCGGGGTTTGTTCCACCCTGTGTAATCTTGATTAGATCTCATTTTTTTAACGGAAAGGGGGGCAGGCTGAGAAAGAAAACCCAGGCTTCTTTTGGCTGAAGGGGTCTGGCTGGATACACTAGACCTAGAAACATGTAATGATAAAAAAAAGTGTAAGGTTTCTAATACTCTTCCTTAAAGTGCTAAAGTCCATGACCCTGGAATTGTGTCACTATAGAAGACAAGGACTGGCAAAGCCACGCAAGATAACTGGCATTTATCACAATGCAGAAGAGGCATCAGAGAGAGAACTTCTTTCCAGAGCACTTCAATACTTGTCTTTTGTTTATAAGATATTTAACAATTCCCCACACCGTATGAGGAGAGGATTATGTAGCATGAGATCACAACTCCTCAGATATGCTTAAAATTGACATCTGGGCCAGAGCCTTCATTTTCAGCCTCTTGTTCTTGTAACTTAATCACTCTGGACCTCAATTCCTCACATGTAAAGTGTGGACAATGCCTCTTTTCTTCCTCTATCTCATCTATCTAGGGCAGAGACCAACAGTTTGAGTCCACAGTGTCTAACTCAGAAGAATCTCAACCTCAGCAGGACTCAGTACTACTAAAATACTGTTACTAAAATAGTGTTTCATGGCATTTATCTACCTGGGACAATCAAACCAAGGATTCAGTCTGAAGTTCCAGAGTTTATACAGAATCTGAACCATCGAGAGTTCAGGTATCATTTGGATCAGTCATTCACAATGACCACAATAGCCTTGTCTGATTTTAGAAAGTCTATCTACTGCAAGTAGTAACTGCAGTTTGTAGATGTAACTACAGCAATTGCAGCCACACTGAATACCTCGATTGTACCTCTGCAGGAATAAATAATATATGTATGTATATAGGCATTTTATGCATATAAGCTATATACCACGTGAGAAACACACAGGAAATTGCAGATCCTAATTTCTGGGAAAGAACTGTCATTTACAGTTCAAGCTAGTGAATCTAGTGAATCAGTCCTACCTCTCCAGGGTGGAACCGCCAGTGGAGTACTCTTTTGATGAGGACCGACTACCATAAAAGGATGATGACTGCAGCGGTAAAATGCCTTGAAAAAACAGAAAGAGAGACAGGTCAGTTTGTTGCAGGTAATCCAGCTATTTATATAATACACAATTTGTTTAAAAGTATTTAGTCAAAAGGTTTAAAAATCCTCAAATACCGTTTTCCAGAATTGGACAGAAAAGTACTAACACCCGTACTTGGGAGTATTTATGTGATTATTAATCATATGTAAGTAAAGACATGCTGGAGTTTTAATCTAATTTAATACCGTAATCTCCATCAACTCCAAATTGCAATAAGAAACATGAAAAAGTCATTGAATGATCTTAACTATAAGAAAGATCAAATAAATATCCACTTCTTGTTCAAATATGCAAGATACACATAGCAGAAAACTCACTAATGATTTCCAACATAATGCTCTCAAAATTTCAGGTAAATATGCAGAAGTGAAAACAGTTTCTCTTCCCAAATTTCACTCCAAAGTCCACAGTAAATTCCTATATGCTTAGGGCAAAATATGATTGCTTCATTGTTCTGATATCATTGTGTCTGATCCCGAGACACTAATGCCTCAGATGGTGCCACATTAAAAAAACAAAAAAGTTCTCAAGAGTAAAAAACCCCTACTTACGGTGAATCACAGTGTAATTTAGTTTGGATAATGAATATTATATTGGATAATAAAAAACTGAGCTGTGCAGCTTTCAAAAATGCAGACATATGAAGGAAGTTTGCAATACCGTTACGTGAACTTGCAGGCATACACTCACAGATTATAATTTTGACTCTAAAGAGCAAACCAGATTTTCGTTCAGATATGAACATTCACCTTACTGGCTCCTTCAGTACAAAGTCTGTGCTATCAGAGCTGCACTAAAAGAAGAATGCATTCAGCAACATTCCCCATAAAAAAAGAGATCTTGAAAGTATTCCCCTTTATGGGGAAAGAGGCTCAGTATTTATAGGTAAAACTAAAGAACAGTGCTGCTTACTAACCTGTGTACATACCATCAGTATTTCTATATTGTCTATAAAACCTTGACATACACCAGTATCCAACAGAACTTTGGTACAAACAGAACTAAAGTCCTGGTCCCAAAGAGACCCGCCTCAAAGTTTTGGGGTAAATAGGGAAGGAAAAGCAAACAGTACACGTTTCCAGCACAAAAGCCAGCCTACAATTTACATGGGCATTAACAGCAAAGGAGAGCTTTAAAAATAAACAAGCAAGCAAGCAAAAAGGAAATCCTTAGGTGCTTGCAGGAATCCCCTCCCAGGGGGAAGGGCAGCTTGGAGCAAAGTTTGAAGCTGCTTGTTGAATTCTCAAACAAGCCAGTACATGGGCTGGCATCAGCACCCAAGTGTAAAGGTCAGGGTCACGTTAGAGCAGGACAGGCTTTGGAAACGAAGGCAACTTGCTTGCATCTCATATATGGCTCTGTAGGAAGCAGGAAAGTTAGTGGCACAGGGAAAGCTGATGAGGAAAACCACTTCTGCAGCAACTTTCTAACCTAATATCAAAGGGGTAGAAATGTACTGGTCAAAGCCAGGTATCATTTGGCTTTACTTTTATTTTTTTACCTGATGTCCTATTTTCCTCCGCCTGCTTCAAATTCAACTGTTTCTCTCTGCTACTATTCAAGAACTTCCACGCTGGATCACTCAAAGCTTTGTTATTCCTACAGAAGAAGAGTGGAAGGCAGTGCAATTAAAGAAGATACAAGATATTTCTGCTTGATATTTACAACTTGTTTTAAATTTCTCTCCTATCACCTTTAATACCTGACTGTGGAACAGTTAAACTTTACTTGCAGATAAATTTAACCAGTTAACTTAAATAAGCCTTCTTACTTACAGTTAACTGTGATTTCAAACACATGGAGCTTATTCTCCAAGTGACAATTTCCCTTTATGAATTTTGCTTTGAAAAGGGTCAAATCAAGTTCAGTAAAGAAGATACCCATTTCTATACACATTTAGTATATATGACAAGCCTGACAAAAGAAAGATGACACAAAATTTGCATGTACCAGTTCCTGCAAACCAACTGCTAGAGCAGGTTGTATTTCCCTCATTAACCCCGAATGCAAACCCCATTTGAAGCACCCAGTGTTGACTAGTGGCTGGCCTGTACCACGTTGCCGAGAGAAGAAATCCCCAAGCACTCTTTTCAGAAAAGTTTACCTCTACAAATGAACAAAGAGCTTAAAATCAGAAACTCGAAACAACGGTTACTTACGTTGAAGAATCATTCTCTTTGGGATAATCTTCACTCATTTCTGAACCAGGAGGTTGTGTTCTTTTCCTCTTTTCACTGATGACAGAAAATTTTTGAAGTGGTCATTCTTTCAGAAAGGCTAGTAAATGATCCCCTTCCAATTCCTCAATGCTTTCTGTGTGCTTTGCACCCATCTTCAACAATCTCCACTTTTATAACACAGCATACAGAGAAGAATTTGGTCTGCCCAACCCTTAAGTTGTTCATAAAGCTCTAGTGCCAGTACCAGCCAGAGGCTAGAAAAGCACATAAAAGTAACAGCAAAACCAGACGAAAAAAGGTATTCCCCTCTTACTTCCAGGTGTAATGAATTCCACCTGCAGCTCTATAAAGAGCTAAATTTTAACAATACCAGAAGAAGAGGACAACACTCCTACCGATTCTCCAACAAGCCCGTTCTGTGAGGGACTGATGAGGCAGGAGATGCCGAAACATTCACCCTGTTGCTTGGTGTTCCAGTTCCAGCAGAACTCTTAACAGACGCCCTTGCTGGGGTACCCAGAACCTTGCGAAATGGAGTTTCCTCCTTACTTTCCATGGTCACTCTTTTGGGAGGAGTCTGCAAAACCCAAGCGGAGGGGGCCAGGAAGACAACCGAAACAGTGAAAAACGAGACCTTGTTTAGTCTAAGCTGGCATTCACACCACTGCTATACTTGCTACAGTGTAGCAGCCGAAAGCAGAAAAATATTACTTGTAATATATGAAAAAAGTTTCACTCTAATTAGACATAGGTAAATTTTTTACTGTATCTATGCAAGTCATAAACATGAAATTTCACTGCAGTAACCAATTTCACTTCCCATTTTCCAATGCTGTCAGTTGAACTTTATTTTTTAAAATCTGTTTTATGTGCTTTGACATTAAAAAAAGCCAAGGCATGAATCCTAACCATCCCTAGATCAATCCTGGTTGGTGTTAAAAAAACCACCCAAACCGCAAAACTGTATTAAAACCCACACAACTAGAATAGTGCCCTGACAGCCTTGGGCCAAGTAAGCACCACATGTAATGCAATAGGAAGAGTTAATAGTTGGTTGACTAAAGAACATTGGTCAATTTTAGACCTGAAAACTAAGCATGTCTAATCTTACCAATGTATATACAGCCTTAGAGTTTTTACTGCAAGATTGCCTTTAAGCAACATGTCAAATTTGTTTGGGGACAATGTCAAAAATACTCTGCCTCAGGGCAGTAATGCAAGTATATTCACAGAGGTAACAAAGTAAATTAAAGCTGGTAGATAGACCTCGAAATCTGTGTTATGCAAGGAGAAAAGTACAAAAGTACTTTGAAGGAAAAATAATTTTTCAGAAAAGTCTTCAAAATTCACACAAAAATCCGAGCAGAATGCCACAAATTCAGGAACTTTATTTCAAGACAAAACTGGTTCAGTAGCTTTTCAATACATACATTTGGCTGAAGCCTGCTAAACTCATTAAGACCTATGCTGACTGTAACACGTTCACCTGCTACGTTAGGTGTTCAGTATATATGGAGAGATACTCAGAACTATGTGAGAATCAAGCCTTAATCATGTACTTTCCCTCTATTTCTGCTTATCTTTTGCCTGACTGACAGCTCAGCATGAAGAATATATTCTGTCTTCCTCAGTCAGGCACCGACCTTTCTAGTTCATACAGAATATATGGCTCCTCATGAGCAAGATGCACTGTTGGCAACCACACTATACATGTCTGTTCCAAGCACTCTAGATTATAAAGACTTGGATGCAAAATAAGTATTTACAGTGCTATTACAACATACAATAAAAGAATGAGAAGTGGAAGTGAATGAAATAAAATTATAGAAGAAAAATGTGAACATTTAAACTAACCTGGTTCTCTATATAAGAGAATTGCCTATTAGCTTCCTTCTGTGTGGTCCTGCTGCCCAGCACACCTCCAAAGCTGCCAGATCCCTGAGAGGGTTTCCCAGCTGACAGAAAAAGTACACAACATTTGATTTGATAGTCATTTAACTGACTGGCACTTTTATTTGTAAAATGTTATTTAGCTGGAGTGGATTTTGGAAGGGACACACTAGATTTCTTGCCAACAAACAATACAATATTCTGAGTGCACAGACATAAGCGCATATTTTTGGCTCTCTCTTATACTGGTCATTTACTCAATTGGCAGTAAAGTTCCTATCTTAAAAGGACAAAAAATAAGAGGAAAAATAAAAAGGAAAGAGCCTATGCATGTGTAATAAACAGACAAGAGTTTTTCAAATACCAACAACAAACAATTCCTATGTGTTTAATCTCTGCTTACTGTTCAGCGTGACAAAGGTACATTATAAGAAAGGTATATAACAAAATTGGGGTTCAGGGTCATAAAGCATTTACACAAATGCAAAGAAAGTCAGTAATGCAAGGAGGACAAAATGCCTAAAGATGAAAAAGGAAAACGCAACACTGACTCCTCTCCAAACTGTTATTAATGTGATTTACAACAACTGCACTTACCAGTATGAACCCTGTCTTGGTGGACTGCATCCAAATACATCCGCATTTCATTTGCATCTTTAAATGGTACCTTATCAATTGTCAGGAAGCTGGTATCCTTTAGTGTTAGCATCAGGCAGCACAGTTTTCTACCATTTGGTCGTAAGGTCACAGTTTTAATGTTATGGCTTAGCTGAAAACAAGAAAGTGACTATAAACACAAATCCATTTTTAAAAAGCCAAAATACTTACAGATTCAACAAAAGACTTCAAATAGAGAGAGTAAGAGGCACTTGCACGTAAACACTTCTTGCTCCATTTGGAGCAAACACCGAGTCTCACAGAATTAATGCAATTGGCGATCTTGGGAGCTGACAGAACTGAAAGGACAGTAAAGGAGCGTAAAGGAATAAGAACTTCATACAGTCCCAGTTAGAAACATCCACATCAAGTTTTAAAAGTTAAGTAGAAACTTCTACTCACTTTATAATTTGCTCTCAGGGAAGAGAGATTTCACATAGATTAAAAATTCTGCTGAGGGAGCAAGTCATTAAGAAACACGCTCAGCCTATATGCAACATTATAGCCATTCAGTGGTGTCAAAACTTTCAGGGTTATGGTCAAGCACAAGAAGAATTTTAATAAGATTCTGTGCTCCCTAATAATGCCACTGCTACTTTATTATACCATTACTTAATTGTTACTTCATGCTAAGTCACCTATAAGAACTGGCTGTTCAGTAGAGGTTCTACAATCCACACAGGTGGAGGGTAACTTCTAAAGCAGAGGAAGCAAAATTAGTATTGCACATCTGCAGACTGCATGGCAGTTTGACGATACACACCAAAGTGTACTCTCAATTTCAATTCCCTTATCCTTTTTTGCTTAACTCTTCATTCTGCTGCTACTTCTTTAGCCTTGCCTAAGATCAGGCACTAGCTGCCCAATGACTCCATGCCAGCGTACTGCTATACTCAATGCGTCATACAAGATTGGAACCACAGCCAAGGTCATCCGGCACTACACAAGAGGGAGTAAAACACTGCCCATCAGATTGGAGGCTACTCCTAATTTGACTTGACCTGCATACTGCAGCACTACTGATCTAAATAATGATACCTAAATAATGATACGGAACTAATAGACACGAGCACTAATTACACTCTAACATCAAAGTTTCACTATACATCGCCCTAGCACCTGTCTTGTTTCCTTCAACTTATGCACAAGTTTTAAAGTAACAATTATTTCCTATTTTTATTTAAATTTGTTCAGGTATATAAAAGACTGAGATAGTAAAAGGCACTTCTCGTCCATCAGTGAGATTTCTTTTTTTCCATGCATATCTCTAGTTTCTTCGAAAGCCAATCTATGAGAGGCTGGAAAACCAACTCAATAGGAAACTAAGGGTTTATTTTACTGGGAAAATTACACTCCTGAAGTCCTTTGTGCTCAGTCCTTGTGGGTTTGGGTTTTTTGGGGGGTGGGGTGTTTTTTTGTGTTTGCTTTTTTTAATATAAGTGAAAAAAGTCTTCAAAGACTTAAGAAACGTAAAGGAGGCTCCAAATTTTTCATCCTCTCTTAAAACATTGAACCCAGTGCAAAAGGATTACAACTACTTCACCATCTCATTGCAAAACAACCTATTTCAACTCAAAAAGCTACCAAGAGGTATGGAGGTATACTCTCCATGCACCTGTTAAGACCCAGTCAGTGTTACAAAGTCTTGGGAGGTGGGGGTAAATTAAATACTTCTCTTACTATGTACCTAGCATCTAGGACAACTTAGTCAAAGCTCTGAAACATCACTTAAACATATCATCTGACAGAAGAAATTTGACGACGCACCAGTCACTGTACAAAGAAATACAACCCTGGATCCATCCGAATGTCCCATGACAGAAAAATGAAAAAAGGCGGAGAAATTGCCCACAGGTCTCCCAGAGCAACTTGTCAAAAAAAAAGGAATGCTACTTCTAAAGCAAAGTGATCAGGAATTTGTCACACCTGAAATGGCTTGCAAGAGCAGTGTGACAGTCCAGGGCTGGCTCATACAAACTACACTCCAGCACAAGGCTGCAGTGCAAGGGCCAGGCTGCTCGCCCTGCCTGCTGCTTGCTCCCACCACCACTCTTGTGCCGGTGTCTGTGTCGCTTCAAGATAAGCGGGACCAGAAAGCAGATCCTGCCAAAAAATAGCCACCATCCAAACAAAAATAATTGGTCTAAAGAGGTACCTGCTCATTTCCTACTCCTCCTTTACTGTGTTCCTAGCTGCATGATCCCATATCACACTCTCCACCAGATCTTGCGTTCAGCCCTTTCCACAAGTCAATTCACATGAAAACCCTCCACCGAGCCCACGGTGAGCTCTGACAAGCACTAGAGCCAGCAGACATGAGAAGCTGGGAGCAAAACCTGCCCCTTTAAGCCATGGTTAGCTGTTCTATAGGCTCATCCTCCCTGTGGAACCACTTCTGGAGTCACTGTCACACCAAGTTAACACTCTGTCACACCACATTAACACTGGAGCAGACAGAAAGGAGCACCCAAGAACAAGCATCCAGGGAAGGTACAAGTGGAAGCAGAGAGCGCTCTTCTCGGAAGCAACGTGGTCCAATGCTGGATTAAATCAAACACGCAGTCACTGCATCGCGCATGAGAGGGCAGACGATTCTCTTAACAGAGGTAGGAGCTATCCACAGCTCATGAGTTTCACACACCTCAATTCCAAGGCAGCCCAGGCTGCCAGGTTCTTTGCTGAGACTTTTCAGCACACTAAGGCAGCAAAACCTGATCTTTCAAAAATAAAGTGAAGTTTTTTGACTGAGTCCGCACACAGAAATAAATGGCTTAGAGAAACGTGTGGTGAACACTACTGATGAAAAGCAATTGCGGCACAAAAAAGCAGAAGCCGACATTTAGATCAGTTTAGGCTGTTACAAAGTTGCTACATAAGATAGGGTTGGTTTTTTTTCCCCAATCATTCTTATATCCTCTACATAATTTTAAGTCACAGAAATTTATTACAGAAAAACATCCTTTCACATTCATTCAATCTGGGGCATTTTGCACAAAAAAAACCTAGGAAGACTGAGCTGACAATGACTGTAGAATGAAAAAAAGGCAATTTAGGCTGAATGTTGCAGGAGAATCCTTAACAGTGAACTGCATCAGTGTCCCAGTGAGGAAATCACATCGCCTGGCATTTTTAAAACCCAAAACTGCAACAACTGCTGTTCAGCAGAGCCCTGTATAAACAAGCGGAAAGGTTACAAATGTGTTAACACTGCTACTCTTCAGCTGGGAAAACTGTTTAGTACAAACTGTTCAGGATCTTCACCTTTAGGTTCTGTAAATTCACCAGTAACAGAAATGCTACATGTTCCAAAAGTCTGAACACATGAGGCATGATTCTTTATACTCTGGTAATTTTTCTCTGCTCTTTTCTTCTTTCCATTCAGCGGTATGCTCAATGCCGACCTCGCAGATCCTTTGACAATACACGTGAATAATTTACAGGAGAGTTGCACAAAGGGATTAGTGTTCAGGAAACGAGGAACAAGAATCGGTGACAGAGGGAAGTCTGCATGACACTTAATAGCCTTGAAGAGGACAGCTGTTCAGAAAAGGGCACTGCTCAAACAAAAAGCTTTAATATTTGGCGTACCTGAAATGTCTTTGGAATTCCTCCAACGTTGTAGTGAACCACTAGGCTCACTTTGTTGTCCTTCTCCACAATTTCAAAGCTCCCTTCTTTCCATTTTGTAATCCCAGTCTGCATGCTGCGCATCCGGACAGGTCCGTGCACCTTTAGCGGAGCCATGCTTTCTCACAGAAAAGAGCTAACAAGAGCAAGTGTACTCCACCTTTAAAACCTGTTAAAAAGGAGAAATTTATAACTAGGTAACCCAAAGAATCTCTACAGAAAGATGTTAAGTATGGCTTAAAGTTTCTGATAAGTTTTGTAGGACTGTTTTGCTGATCTTTTTAAACACAGTGTAGGAAACTTAGGTAAACAAAACTTCTCTCAGTCAGGGCAGCACTACTCACTGTCGAAAGGTGAGCAGACCCGAAGCAGACATAGAAACTCTTGCAAATCCTCAAGGAAACTTCAACAAATTTAAGGAAAGAAATAAAAAAAAAGTGCCTGAGGGAGTCGGTAAGAGATGGAAACCGAAGTTTCAGAGGAAGCCGAGGAAGGAAGACGAGC